TGGTCGAGCAGGAGCTAGGAAGCAGGTGGCAGCAGATTGGAATGTTGGAAACTTGGGGAGCACTTGGGTGATGGCAGGCAATGACAAGGACCACCTCCCCTGTGGCTAGCAAGTGACTGCCATTTGATGGCCATTGGCTCCCTGGGAAAGTGGCAGGAGCATCCAGTCCCAGATGGTGCCATGCATCCCCACACCTTGGCACCTGCTGCGCCCCCCTTCCCCATGGCCCCCCAGGAAGGACCCCACCTCTGTGTGCTTGCAGTGCAGGGGCTAGCAGCACAGACGCCTTGGAGGTGGAAAGTGAAGAGACAGGCCCAGAGAGGGGCCTGCCCAAGGTCACACGGTGGTCAGCCTGAGTCCAACCCAGCATTTTCTCTGGGTGCTTTGTTCCAATGTAGCCCACTAGGTATGCTCTGATAGTCTGAGCCTGTGCCAGGACCCCGGCTTGGCATCGTGCAGGCCTGGAGTAGGGTCCTGAGTTCAAGTCTTGGCTCTGTCTTGCTGTGCCTTGCTGGGCCCTTCCTTGAGCCTCCCTGGACCTCAGATTCCTCCTTCCTGTGTCACACCTGGACGACGTGACTTCTAGCAATGTTGTTGTTCGTGGCCAGCTGCCCAGCTGTCCTGGGCCCCACCTCGGGCGGCTGCTAGAAAACCATTTACATGGGTTTGTTTCCCTTCGGTTCCAGGCGGCTGTGCGTGTCGGGCTCAGGGTGCCCCATGGAGCAGGGAGCCCTCGAGGTGTGTATGTAGCCCAGCTCCCTGCCATCCAGGCTGGGGCCTGCACAGGCAGGGTCACACCTAAGGTCAGCTGAGCACCCACAGCCAGGTAGAACCGGCTTGGCTGGGCCAGGTTTGGGTGTCCAGCCAGGGCCAGGCCCAGCCTGCGCCGGCCTGCGATTCCTGGTGGGGCTGTCAGGGCTCTGTGCTGCTCCCCTCCTCCTCGGGCCTTCTGTGGCCAGAAAAGATGGAGCACAGGGCCAGAGCCCAGCAGCTCCCTGCCGAGTCCCTCCCATTTCCACGTGTCCCTTCCCCCGGGCCCCTAGAAGAGGCCCTGCATTAGTGAGCTCGTGCAGAGACAGAACCAGTAGGATTGTAGGATCTCATTCGCTCTCTGTCCACGAGAGAGGGTGTATTGGGGGAACTGGCACACACGATCATGGAGGCTGAGAAGTCCCACGACAGGCCGTCTGCAAGCTGGAGACCCCGGGTCGCTGGTGGCTCAGTCCGAGTCCGAAAGCCTCGGAACCGGGGAGGCCGATGGTGTAACTCGCGGGTGAAGTCCTGAGAGCCGGGGTGGGGTGGTCACAAGTCCTGGAGTCCAAAGGCTGCAGTTCTGACTGATGTTCAAGGACAGGCGAAGATTTTGTCCCAGCTCCGAGAGGGTGTGGGAGGGAGAGAGCAAACCCTCCCTCTGCCTTCGTGCTCCCTCCGGGCCTCAGCCGCCTGGCGTGCCCCCCTCCTCGGGAAGAGCCCTCTCGGTGCACCCAGAAGTAATGCTTTCCCCGCTCCCTGGGTGTCCCTCTGCCTGGCCAGCTGACACCGGCACCAGCACCCCCACTGCCTCCTCTGTGACACCACCCATGTCTCCCTCTTGCCCTCCCCGGGGCCTTCCTCTCCCCCACCTCAACCACACAGCCAAGCCCCCTGCCCCGTGCCGTGCTCCAGTCCCCAGTCGTCACTGCCTCGCCTCTGCTGAGGCCCTGCGCCCGAGCTGAGTCCAGGGGGTGCCTGTCCCCTCCTGTCCCTGACCCTCCTTGACCCCTGGCAGCTGGACACGTCCAGGCTTCAGTTACTACCATGTCCTGAGTGCACCCAAAGCGACCTCAGCCTCAACCTCTCTCCTGTGCGTGGTCCCCAGTGTCCCCCGGCCTCCCACTGCCCCAGGACCTGGAGACTGGAATTGAAAATGGTGGATCTTTGCCGTTCGCCTTGAGTGAGGGTCGAGCTCTACCCTGGGAGTGGATTTTTGGGTTAGCTCGATCCTCTTCCCAAGTGTTGTTGGGGGTCTAGGCCAGCCCCCCACGCTAAGGCAGGGGTTGCTGGGGTTGTCCCTGGAGGCTGGGGTGCTCAGTGAGCTGTCTCTGGCCCAGTGGTTGGGACTCCCAGCCCGAGCCACCTCCAGAACCCACTGGACTCAGAGCTGTCACAGGGTTCCTGCTTCCAGCAAAGCCCTCGGGACCACAGTGTGGGTCCTCGCCTCTGCGTGCTGTCCCCGCCCCTGGGGCTCTTCTTCCCTGTGCTGTGGCCAGAAAGTGCCTCAGTGATCCGGGGCCCACTGCATCTGTCCCCCTCTGTCACACCCCTGCGCTGCCTGGTATCTGGCTGCCGCGCACCTCTGCCTAGTTTTCAGTTGCTCCTGGCAGGAGGGCAGCATCCGGTGGCTCCCATGGCCGCCGGGCCCGGGCTACTCTCGTCAAAATAAGCCTGGGGCCAGATTGTGTCCTCAGACCAGCCTCGACTCTGGGACAGAACCGTGTTTAGTAACAGCCACACCTGCTCGTGCTTACTGAGCTCCTGCACCCCTGGCTCGGGCCGTCCCGCTGGCCTCCGCGCAGCCGATGGGCATGCAGGAGTGTCACCCCATTTCCCAGGGGAGATGACCAGGCTGGGGAGGCCGTGGGCCCCCTGCTGTTGGCTCCACGAGGGCCTGGGGACGAGGCCCCCCAGGCCTTGTCGGGACCTCGCCAAGCTAGGCCTCCTGCCTGTGCTCAGGCCAGGCTGAGAACAGTCCGCGTCTGCCCGTGGCATGGCCGTGGGATGGGCCAGTGCGGTGACTGCACCCAGGGCTCCAGCAGCTCTGCGGGCCTGGGCGCACCTGTGGGAGACAGGATGGCACACAGCTGGGGCTGGGCGAGGGGCCGGCGGGGCGGGCGCTGCTGTCCTTCCCAGCATGTGCCACTCCTCTCTGCAGGTGCGGGGTGGAGCCGTGGGGCGGTGGAGGGAAGCCCGGGGCTCGGAAGGGGCAGCGGGTCCTTGGGAAGCTGCTGGGAGGAGGAGGATGGGGCATGGAGCTCCCCAAAGGCAGGCTGGGCGGGGGTGGGGGGGAATCCCATGCCCTACCCTTGAGGTGGGCTTGTTATCTTAGTTCAACAGATCGGGAAGCTGAGGCTCACTGTCCAAGGTCGCAGCTGCCAGGCTTGTCATTGCTCTTGCCGTTGAGGGGCACAGAAGTGGCATCATGCGCTGGCCTGGATCCAAGAACCGGGGGGCCTGGGCCGCGCTTCAAAGCTCTCCCACCTGTGGTTCACCTGGTACAGGTGTGGCCTGTCCCGCCCTCTTGTTCCCAGGCTTGGCCTCCTTCTAAGGGGAAGCTGGAGCTGCCTGTTTTCTGAAAACCTGTGGCCTTGAGCTGGTGGGTCCTCAGGTGGCCCCAGGTATACAGGTGAGGGGCTGGCCACTGCCCTCAGGGGCCTAGGGGGAGGCTGGTGTCCAGAGGCCACCCCCTGGGTGAGAGGGAGGCTGGAGGAGCCCACGCAGCCCCAGCCTGACATCCAGGTGTGCAGAGGTCCAGGGGACTTTGCACAGGGTTTCCCTGCAGGGGCCATGGCCAGGGTCTCCCTGAGGTTGCCGCTTGTCCTTCTTGCCCTGTTTGTTTGCCATGAAGACATTTCTTCCTGCCCGAGTCCACCTTGCAAGGGCCCCCATTAAAAGCTCTATTTTCTGGGTGACACTGAGGCACACTCTCTGAAGTGTCCCCCTGGCCGGGTCCCCCTTGGGGCAGGTACAAGCTGGGGTGAGGCCTGGTCACCTGTCCCCCCTCTATCCACTGCCCCAGGGCGCAGCAGGCACCCGGCTGCCCCCCACTGCCCCGCAGCGAAAGGCTAGCGTGTGGCCCACAGGTGTCCTTTGTCCCTCTTGCCAGAGTGGCGCCTGCTCTGAGCCCGGTGTGTGACGTTCGGTGTGTGACGCTCGGCCAGGGCTGGCGGGCGGGCGGCGGCGCCCAAAGGGCAGGGCAGGGCCGAGTCCGACTCGCCTGGCCGGGCCTGCCAGCCCCTCCTGCTTTCTCAGCCGCTGTGTCAGTTTCTGGTTGCTGTGGTGACAGGGCCACAGTCGTGGTGGCTTGAAGCAGCGCATCATCTCCCTCCGCATCATCACCCTGCCCCGTGTCTCGCCGGGCTGAAGCCGGGGCGTGCGCGGGCGGCGATCCTCTGGAGGCCGGTGGGAAATCCGTCCGGAGCTGCCTTGCGTCCTCCGTTGCAAAGCCAGCAGTGGCAGGACGGGTCTGCCTCGGGTCGCCGCACCGGGGCCGCCTCCCCTGCCTCCCTCTCCCACTCTCCAGGGCCTTCTGGTGGCACCGGGCCCAGCAGGACAGCCCAGGGGCACCTCGAATCTTAGGGCCACTGATTGGCAGCCTGAGTTCCGTCTGTTCTGGGTTCTCCCCGGCCGCCGGCCGGGGTCGGGGGTGTGGGCATCCTCGTGGCCTGCCGTCCGGCCCTCCGCAGGCGCCAGGCCTCTTCCTGCGTCTTGGGTGCTGCTCCGGAGCCTGGGCCCCTCCCTCAGCCTGCGGGGGCTGGGCCTCCTTGCAGGGAGGCCTGTCCCAGGCCCCCTCCCAAGCACAACCCGGGAAGCCACCATGAGGCAACGTGGGCAGGGCGGAAAAGAAAACCATTAATTGCCCCGCCACCTTTGTTGCCGCCTTTGTTTGCAGCACGTCACACAGCCCAGACTCACCGCGGGCGGCGTTCTGGTCGCCTGCCTTTTGGCCGCTGCCTCCGTGGCCACTCTTGTTAGCCAGGACGGCGCAGGACTGGGCCGGGCGCTGCCGCGGCCCTCTTCTCGCTGACCTCCCCGGGAGCCAAGGCGCCCGCCCGGAGCTGGGATTTGTTTTCAAACGTGTATTTTTATTGTGGTAAAATATACATAACGTAAGATTTGCCATTTTTAACTATTTTTAAGCGCACAATTTGGTGGCATAAATGGCATTCACAATGTTGTGCAGTCAACACTGCGGTTTTCAAAACTCATCCCCACCCCGAATCGAAACTCACTCCCGACCCCAGCCCAGCCCCCGTAACCTCTAACCTATTCCCTCTCCGTGGTCTCGTCTGTTCTAGAGAGTTCTGGTTAGCGGGCCGGACAGTGTTAGTCCTCTTGCTGTGGCCGTGTGTCAGCACAGCGCCCTGGAGGCCCGTCCAGGGGCACCACGCAGGTGACCAGGTTACCGGCCTCCTTTTCAGACCGAGCAGCCTTCCACGGTGCGGACGGACCTCGTTTGTCCGTCCGTCCATCCATCTATCCATGCTGCCGCGGACACGGCGTCCGAGTCCCCGTTTGCTGTCTCTGGGAGGGGCTGCCGGCTCACGGGGGCTCGACCTTTCGCTTTCTGAGCAGCCACCCGCCTTGCGTTCCCACGGCGATGCGCGAACGTTCCAGTTCCTCCACATCTTCGCCAACAGCCGTTATTTTCCTTTTTCACAAACATTCCAGCCGTCTGTTGGAGTCTGTTTCCCGTTGCTCACGGTTCGGGAGGCCGGGAGGCCCAGGCCGAGGGCCCGCGCTGGCGAGGGCCTTCCCGCCGGGGGACCTGCGAAGCCACAGTTGCCCTGCCGTGGTAACGCGTTAGTCCGGGAATGGATCGATACGTCCCTGAGGGCAGAGTCCTCTTGACTCGATCACCTCTTAAAAGCCCCCACCTGCCAGCCCTGCGCGCTGGGTCAGACGTGGCATGAGTTTGGGAGGGGACACCAAGCCGTGGCAGCGTCCTAGTGTGAAGCGTTGTCTGCTCCTCGCTGCGGCTTCCATCTGCGTTTCCCTGATGGCTGACGACCTTGAGCGTCTCTTTGCCTGCCTGTTGGCCAGGTAGATGTCGTCTTTGGAGAGATGTCGGTTCACGTCTTTTGCCCATGTTTCATTTGGGTGGTTTGTCTTTTTGTCGTTGAGTCGTGCGGGTTTTCTATACGTTCTGGACACAAAGCCCTTATCTGGAGCAGGAATTTGAGCCCGGGCTGGCCTGCACTTGAACTCTGCTTCCTCCCATCCCCCCACGGGCTCTGCCCCCCCCCCCCCCCCCCCCCCCCCCCCCCCCCCCCCCGCCCCGGGCCCCTGTTGAGCGAGTGGGGCTGAGGTCTGTGCCTGTCGCTGGGCTTCCCTGCTCGCTCCGAAGTTCTGCTTACATGTGCCATGCCGGGGCCGTCATCTTGTGGCTCTAACTGGGTGGTTTTCTTGGCTGGCTCCCAGGAGGTGGCCCTGGGGTCAGAGGGCCGGGGTCACATTGCCTGCAGCTTGTCCCAGGCTGGTGACGCCGTGTCAGTCCTGAGGCGGATGGAGCGGGGGCCTGGCGGTGGGGCGTCCTGCTCTGCCCGCCCCTGCCAGCTGCTCGGGGGCCACACGCAGCATCGGCCCTGAGAGGTGGAGGCAGCACCTTGGGCCACCGGGGTGTGTCCTCGGGGCTGCTGCTCACCTGGTCTGGGGCCAGGAGCATGTCGCTGCAAGGAGAGGCAGGGCTCGGCGGGCTCCAGTATGCAGGCAGCCGCGGGGCCGCTGTGATTTTGGCTGGAGGGACTCTGTCAGCTTCCCGGGCAGGTGGGCCTGGGGTCATAGGACTTGGGAACCGACTTCTTCCCAGCGGCTCCCAGCAGACATGGGCCGTGCCACCGGGGGACCGGTGTGGTTCAGTGGGAGCGAGAGCTCCTGAGCACAGCACACCCTCGCCAGCCTACGCTGGGGACGCCGAGCCCAGAGAGGGCAGGACACAGCCGGCCACACAGCGAGGGTGAGGTCAGGACGGCCTGGGGCCCGGCAGCTCGGCAGGGGGTCCTAGCCCTGAGTCTCCTCTGCCCGGGCAGAGTCCCGTTGCACGCTGGTGTTTCTCTCAGACATGATGTTTTGTCTTCTTCAGCCACTGGAGAGACGTCACTGTGCCTCGCAGGCTGGTGACCCAGCAGGGTCTGGAGGCCGGGGACACGCCCTTGGGTGTGGGAATCCCCCTACCCCCATATCACCCGGGCCTCGGTCTCCTCGCCTGTCCTCGCCTGTTGGCTGTGACAGGGACCCTGGCTGTGGGCCGGGGGGCTCAGCCGCGCTGGCCCCGCCCCACTCTGCATGGCGCCCCTTCCTGGGGCAGATCCTGCCCTGGCCCTGGCGATGCCAGGCTGCCAGGGGACCCCTCGCTACCGCCCTGGGGACCCCTCTTCACAGCCAGCCCTGAGGAGGGGCGCCGGGCCGCCAGCTTGCTGGTGGAGTGGACACAGGCAGTGTGGGGACCTGAGAGACCAGTGCTGACCTGGGGTGCCCTGGGACAAGCCCCCGCCCTTCTGACTCAGTTTCCGCACCTGTGCGCGACAGTAGTGGCCTCGTCTCTCAGGGTCTGTCTTTGCCTGGGAAGCCAGGGGACAGAGCAGACCGGGGGGTGTCTGTTACCTGGAGTAAGAGGTGACCCCCTGCCCTGTCCCTCCTACGCAGCCTCCGTACCCACCTTCCGCCCCCCACCTGCCAGCCCCTCCTGCCGAGCAGCCACCGGTTTCCGGAAGGCACAGCCGTCTTGCCGGACGCCCAGGCCTGCCTCCCCCGGGTCCGGGTGTCCCCCGACGCTGCTCCTTCCCGGCCCTCCCCTGCTCGGCCGACTCCTACTCTCGTTGTTTTTTCCAGTTTTGTAAAACAAAATACAGAAAAGTACAAAAGATACTCTAGCAAACGCGTGCATCCAGCGTCTTACGTTTCCTTCAGTTCTTGCTTGTTTTACCAACTGAAACTCTTGAGACCAAGCCGGAGCCGTCAGTGCTCCCCTCCCCGGCCACCGATGCCCGCCCAGGGTGGCTGTCGGGTTTGGGGTGTGCAGGCTACACTGCCACGCCCAGGCCGTGTCTGAGCCCCAGTGGCGCCGGCCCGGGTGTGCGGCTGGCCTGGCACGCCAGGGGCCGTAGCTCTGCAGCATCACGTCAGCACGTTTCTGTGACCCGTGTTGACAGCTGATCTGTATTTAGGGTGGTGGCAAGTCCCCCCCAGAGCCCCCCAGGTGGTGGGGGTGTGTGTGTGCACACCCAAGGCCCCAAAGCACAAAGGCAGGGCCGGGTCTCAGTGACTCCCGTCCCTCCCTCCGCGGCCCTGGGGTGGGCAGAGGGTGCTGGGCAGGGGCTGCGTCTCAGATGTCCCCCTTGTCCTTCCCGCAGCCAAGTACCCGGCCATCAAGGACCTGATGCGGCCGGACCCGCAGCTCAAGTGGACGGTGCTGGCGCTGGTGCTGGCGCAGCTGCTGGCCTGCTGGCTGGTGCAGGGGCTGGCGTGGCGCTGGCTGCTCTTCTGGGCCTACGTCTTTGGCGGCTGCGTGAACCACTCGCTGACGCTGGCCATCCACGACATCTCGCACAACGCCGCCTTCGGCACAAACTGCGCCGCCTACAACCGCTGGTTTGCCATCTTCGCCAACCTGCCCGTGGGCCTGCCCTACGCCGCCTCCTTCAAGAAGTACCACGTGGACCACCACCGCTACCTAGGTGGCGACGGGCTGGACGTGGACGTGCCCACGCGCCTCGAGGGCTGGCTCTTCTGCACGCCGGCCCGCAAGCTGCTCTGGCTGGCGCTCCAGCCCTTCTTCTACTCGCTGCGACCGCTCTGCGTGAACCCCAAGGCCGTGACCCGCATGGAGGTGCTCAACACCCTGGTGCAGCTGGCGGCTAATGCCGCCATCTTTGCCCTGTGGGGGCTCAAGCCCATCGTCTACCTGCTGGCCAGCTCTTTCCTGGGCCTGGGCCTGCACCCCATCTCGGGCCACTTCGTGGCCGAGCACTACATGTTCCTCAAGGGCCATGAGACCTACTCCTACTACGGGCCCCTCAACTGGATCACCTTCAACGTGGGCTACCACGTGGAGCACCACGACTTCCCCAGCATCCCGGGCTGCAACCTGCCCCTGGTACGTGGCCGGGGACCCGCGGGGCTGAGCGTGTCAAAGGCGGTGGGGACCCCGGGGAGGGCCCTGGGCCAGGTTCGGGCTGCCTTTTCCTCTTCGTGCTGGTCATGGGGTGGTCACTCCCACCTGTGGTCCCCAAGGCATTAGAAAAGGCCAGTCCCCAGCTGGTCTCCAGAGGCACATGTCCTGTGGGCTGCTTGGTTCAGTGGAAACCTGCCTGAGCCCACCCTGCCGCTTACTGGCTGTATGTCCTTGGGCAAGCTGCTTGCCCTCTCTGTGCCTCAGCTTCCTCTTCTGCAAAGTGGGCCAGTGTTAGTGATACTGCATGTGAAGCACCCTCCTTCCTGCCTCCAGACTCCCTGTCCCTGCTCACTTACTGTCACTGCCCTGTGACCTTCCAGGGCCCCCTCCTAGCTCAGACGTGGCCAGAGTGGGCAGGGTGGGCCTGGCCCTTTGCAAACCGAGGGGTTTGGTCTGAGCTGCCGGAGGTAGAGGCCTCTGGGGTTGGCACCTCTGCCTTGCTGGGGTTGGCACCTCCGCCTTAGAGACCTGGAGCTGGAGTCTTTCTGAAGGAGACACGGTGACGGGGGAAGGGGAGGAGGAGGAGCCCCTCAGCTGGTCCCCGTCTGACACCTCGATGGCAACTGGCTATTTAGAAAGAGCTGAGGTGACTTGCGGCAAAGGCGGGGTGGGGAGGATGTTGGGTGCTTGAGTGTGCGAGTCTGTGTGTGAACATGTCTGTCCCATGATTATGCGTGAGTGCAGGTGTTGTGCATGTGGGTACCTGTGGGTGCTCGTCTGGATGTGCAAGGGTTTGCGCACACTTCTGTGTGTGCACATGCGTGTGCCCTGGCCTGTGTGATCTTGGTCCGACAGCCCGTGTGCCTGCCCCTCCTTCCCCGCCGACAGTTCCAGAGCCTGCCCTGTGCCGGTGCCACTCACCTGACCCTCACTGCACCCAGGAGGCAGGTGCCCTCGTTATCCATCACCCCCATCTTACAGGCAGGCAGAGGCTCAGAGAGGGGTGCCACCCGCTCAGGAAGTGGCAGAGTGAGGATCTGACCTGAGCGGGTCACCGAGGGCCCACTGTCAGCCACCAGGCTTTACTTTTCCCGAGCAAAGCGAAAGGCCCCGGCGCCAGGTGCAGGCCCCATGTCTCCTTCAGCCCCACTGTCCTCCCGTGCAGTGGGGCTCCATGTGCCCCGTGTCCTGGGTGCACGCTCCCTGGGGGCGGGAGGGCATCCTGCGGGCCAAGGCCGTGTGCTGGTGGCAGGCAGAGCTGCTTGCAGCAGTTCCTGGAGGCGGGAGCCAAGGCTGGGGAGAGGAGGTACAGGACAGGCATTTGGGAAGTGACAAGTACTGAGGCAAGGAGGAGGGTGTGACGTGGGAGGGCCTGATGGGGCGAGGCCAAGAGCAGCCTGTGACCCCGTGGCCCAGCAGCAGGACTCCGGCCAGACTGTGTTGGGAGGGGAAGGAAGCCCCCGGTCCTGGATCAGAAAGTTGGGGGTGGGCCCGGGGGAGGGGGCACATGTGAACTCCTGGACTCCCACTTGGGGCGGGGCCCGGAGCTGAGCCTGTTGGCGCCCGCTGCCACAGGGTCTTGGCTCAGCCTGGGCCCCTCCCCCACTTCAGGCAGCACCAGCCTTCAGGGAGCCTGAGGAGTGGGGGGCAGGCAGGGAGGTGGACACCAGCACCCCAGGACGGGACGGAGTGTGCGCATGTGAGTACATGTGGCGGAGAGGACAGCCACTGAGGCGCCCTGACCTGCCCTTCCTCTCACAGGTGCGGAAGATCGCGCCCGAGTACTACGACCACCTGCCGCAGCACCACTCGTGGGTGAAGGTGCTCTGGGATTTTGTGTTTGAGGACTCCCTGGGGCCCTACGCCAGGGTGAAGCGGGTGTGCAAGCTGGCGGAGGACCGTCTGTGAGCCTGGCCGGACCCCCGTCCCCGGGGGGGTGGGAGCCCTAGGTTGCTCCTGCCGATTGCCATGGGCTAGCGCCTGAGAGCTGGCTCGGCCGTGTTTGACTCCTGCATGGGGCTGCTGCTTTTGTCCCCCAGCAGGCCCTGGAATTGCCATCAGCAGCCAGCCCTGGTGACAGTGGCAGGGCTGCAGCCTGGCGCTGCCTGGTCGGCACATGGACTCGCGGTGGGCCTTGGGACAGGCCTCCCCTCTGGCCCCGCCCACTGTGACCCAGGCGCTCTGTGTCCGTGGTTGCCACAGAGCGGAGTTCTCTGGTGTTCCTGTGCTCTAAATTAAACCCAGTGTGTGTTGTCGTAGTCCATGGATTGTGTTCTGAGGGGTGGTGGTGGCCCGGCTGCCCTTCCTCCTAGCCAGTCCCAAGTGGTGTCCCGTTTGCTCTGGCTCCTTGGGAGGATGGTGGCTGCTGCCTGGGTGGTGGTCCCCAGGGCCCTGCGTGGCAAGTGGTGGCCTCTGGGGCGTGCGCAGCGGAAGGCATACTGTGTGGCCTGAAGCCCCTCCCCTCCTGGCTGCGCTCTGCAGGGACCCTCACTCTGCCTTCTGCCCTCCCCTGCAGGGAGCCTTCCTTGAGCCCAGAGACGGTTCAGGCCAGGCACTGGGGTCTGTCTTCCCACCCTCAGGGGTGGGGGCGTAGGGAGCGCTGCACAGAACAGGTGCCTGAGCTCGGGGACTGGACAGACAGCTGAGTGCTCAGCAGGAAGCAGGCTGGGCAGTGTCCTTGGATTCTGTGAAGCAGGGACACACGTCTGTCCTTTCTGCAGAAGGGCTGATGGCACAGCTGGGACCTAAGGAGGCTGCCTTCTCCTGGGGGCTGCACTGGGGTGGGGTTAGGGGGTCCTGGTGTCCCAGAGACGGGCGGGCAGGCAGCAGTGGGCTGCCGGAGTGAGGCCCTCCCCGCAGCTTCCACCGCAGCCCTGGGAAGGCAGCTTCCATGGCCTAGGGAAGGGTGGCTGAGGCTTGGCTGTCCCTGCTGCCCTGGGAGAGGAGGGAGGGCTGGGAGGAGGCCTGGCAGTGGCCTTGGACGGTACCAGGCACCTGTGTCTCTGAATGGTCGCCCTGGGTGTGTTCTTCGAGGACTTTGATCTTGGGCGGCGGCCCCTCCCGTGGCTGTGCCTAGAGGGCTCCCCACCCACTCGCCACCTTCCTGCAGACATCACAGAAGGGCATGTCTGGGCCGCACCCACAAGCTGGGCCTGGGGTCTGAGGGTGTCAGCACTCCCAGGAGGAGGCCGCTCCTCTCTGGGGAGCGGGTGTCAGCACGGGCTGGGAGCCCCCAGGGCTGCGTCAGCCCTCTGAAGGCCACCTGCTGGCTCCCCAGGCCTGAGACTGGGATTCCCGGACCTGGCTTAGAACTGCCGTGACACCTGGGAAGCCATCCTGGGAGCCTCCGCGGCTCGCCTCCCGGGGGCACACGATCACCCCCGTCTTTCAGGGCTGCAGGACACTCAGGGAACTGAGGCGCGTCAGGAGCCAGACCAGGACAGGAAACGGCAGTGCCCCTTGTAATCAGCAGACCAGGGCCCAGGAGGTGAGGACCTTGCCCAGTGGCCCTCTGTGGCTGTGGGAGGTCACGTGGGACAACCCAGAGCATGACACTCATGGGAGCTAGAGGCCGCAAGGGTCAGACTCTGGCTGCGCTGGGGAGCCGGTGCCCGAGGCAGGTGTGTGGCCTGCACCTGCTGCCACAGGGCGGAGACCCCGGAGGACACAAGAGGCAGAGCCGCCTTCCCTTTGCCTGCCACCTGCTGGGCCCCAAGTCCCATTCCTCCATCTGAACGGGGCAGTCATGGGGTCCTGCCGGCCAGAATGCACACGGGCCCTGTGGCGTTCTGGGCTGCACTCAGGGCTCATCTACCCGGGGACCATGGGGGGCTCCCCACAGGCAGGACCGGAGGCCCAGCCCCAGGGCACGGGCCGGAGGTGCCGGAGCCGCCCCAGCTCACCCTTCCAGGTCTCAGATGTTCTGATTGAGCCCAGCCACCCACTGAAGACCTTGTCTTGCTCCTGTGACTCCTGTTGCCATGGTCCTGGGCCTGTCCCCTGCCAGGAGCCACCAGAGCCAGCACAACAGAGTGAGAGCCGGAGCCTGAAGGTGTGGACAGTAAACTGTTTATTACCGTGTGGACACAGACACCGCGGTGCATGGACAGACAGTTTCAACACCATGATTGCTGGGGACGGAGCTGCGCGCAGACAGCTCTGCTGTGTGTGGTGACACCACGCTGTGCCTGCTGTCATCGGCAGCTGAGGCGCTAAGCGTCACCTAGGAGAAAACTCGGAAACCGTCTAATGAAGCAGGTGATGTGGGGGCATCCTCTCTATTATCCAAAAGAAATGTACACTTAAATAAGCAAATATAAAATACAAAAAAGACGAGTAGACCCGGTGTTCTGTGTCAGGTAGAATCTAAAAAAATCCTGGAACTGAACTTTTGTTTCCTCATTTTAACATTTTATCACAGGTTAAGACTTTAAATGATGCGCTTCCCAGCTCCGTGCGGCTCTGCGGGTGCTGGGCCAGGGCTGGGAGGGCACTTCGCTGTCCTCCGATGGCCTCGACGTCTCGGCGCCGTTTACGTGGTGCTGATGCCGCTCAGCTCCTGCCTGATGGCTGGGGACAGCATGGGGGCTCAGTGCGCAGGGCCAGCCCCGCCCCACTCCTGCCGCCTGGCCCCACCTGACAGACCTGCCTGTGCCTGTCCCCCCACTGTCTCCCGGGCCCCCCAGGCGCTCAGCTGGGGGCACAGGCTGGAGCCCCAACAGTGCCGTGGACTTTGGCAGACCTCTGGGTGACAAGAAAGCGCTGCGGTAGTCCCTGCTGCGGGCCGCAGCCGGTCGCCAGCCCACGGCCTCAGGGCCGCTGAGCACCGGACCGTGGCGTGAGGAGCTGCCATGCTGACATGCAGGGTCTTTGAAGGCCCTGGACGTATGGGCACCCAGGTCTACTGGGGGGCCCAGGAGCCCCTCACTGACAGGGTGGAGGCTGGGCCCAGCACATCTGGCTTCTGCAGGGGCAGCAAAGTCCTGGCCTGGGAGCCTGTGGGGGCTGCACTGGCTCTGCCCACACCCCTAGCCTGAGCCCCTCCTACTCAGCAGAGGCCGGGGCTGCTCTCGGTCCTCTCCCCAGATTTGGGCCCGACCCTCCTCCCTCTTAGCCCCCTGCTACCCCCTAGGTCGTTGGTGTCCCCTGTTCCTGCTCTGCTTCCTCCACATCAGCTGAGGCCTCTTCCCAGACAGACCTAATGGGGCCAGGGTGGGCACCACCAGTAGCAGGTGCCGCTGCTCAGTGCCCCCAGCGTGGCCTGTGCTTCCCTGCAGACTGGGGTGGCACCTGTGGCAGGTGGAGAGACTGAGGCTGGGGCTCGAGGTTCCCACCACACCCCACTGCCTGCGCCCTGCTGCAGGTGTCTGCCCTGCTCTGGCCCCCGGCAACTGTTGGCTGCGTGTCTGCCTCCGTGGCTCCGGCTCTGCTCATTGATTAGCGCCTTATCTCCCCAGCCCAGGCCTTCCAGGGAGGTGGACAAACAGGAACCGAGTGCTCTCTGCTCAAACAAGGGCGTGGCGGCTGCGAGGGGAGGCCGGCTCCCACTGGGCCTCCTCTCCCTCTGCCACCAGCCTCCACCCCTTTGGGTTCATGGGACCCTCTTGCCCAGCCACGTGTGGCTTGGCTGCTCTGTGGCGGGCCTGAGCCTGCCCTGCCCAACCTTCCCTTTCCCGCTGGCTGCAGATCTGAGCCGGCCCCTCAGGAGCTCGCAGATCTGAGCTGGCCCCTCAGGAGCTCGGGTGGGGATGGGGGAACCGGAAGGACGGATGTGACGCCGCAGGGGGCACGTCCTGTTCTCTGGAGCCAGCGGCTCCTTTGGGGCTGCTTCGTGCCTGCTCCTCAGCCCCGGGCCATGCAGGCCCAGGCCTAGAAGGTAGTTCTGTGGCTCTTGGTCCCCCTGCACCCCAGGGAGACGGCAGGCTCCTCAGAACCCCGACCCCAGTGACTGGAGGCGGCAGCAAGAACAAAAACTTCAAGTTGCTTCTCCAGGCTTGGCTTTGGAATGTACGCTGGGACCCCCCCCAACCACATGAGCCCCCTGACCCCCCAGGGAGAAGCGGAAGGGCCTCAGATTTGAGTGTCGGACACCAGGGCAGTACTTATTCTTAGGCAAGTCCCTTCTCTGAGCCTCAGTTTCCTCAACTAGAGATTACAAGAATCAAGTCTCTTTAGTACCGTACTGGCCCCGGCTTAAACAGCAGGCTGCCTGGCCTAGAAGGCCCGCACCCTGGGGGACCCTCCATCCCGTGGCCAGCCTAGGGCGATGTCCCTCTCCCGGCTGTGGGCCCTTCACTCACCATCAATGATCTCTTCCTTCACCTTGTGAAGTTCTCTGACCACCTCCTCTAGGATCTCCTGGTGGGAGCACAGCATCAAAGTGGGGGGACAGACAGTGAGGTGGGGGAGCTGGCCTTGGTGGGCACGTGTCAGAAGTGCTGGGCCTCCCGGGCCTCTCTCCATAGCCACGGCCCTCACCCTTGCCCGACTCCTGTGGCCCCTTGGCTGCCCTCCCCACGTCAAGGACAGGATGCCCAGGGACGCCTGGGAAGTCCTGCTGCCCACCACCCTCCAGGTCTGCGTGGGCAAGGCTTAGGGCTGCCGGGCGCGGGTTGTGGGCACAGACGGCCCCGCCTGCTGGCTGCCCCTGGCCTCTTTGGGAAGGACATGCTCACCTGTTTCATCCGGTCCAGATCGAAGGCATCCAGGGCCACGTCATTGACGCCCCCGGCAGGCTTCATCCTGGGGAGAGTGGCAGGGCAGTGAGGGGACGGCAGGGCCCGAGGTCACCCATGCTAGTGGCTGTGTGGGCAGGAACACTGGGTGTGCTTGAGCCCGACGCGGGGCTGCGCGCCGCCTGCTGCCCTCGTCTGCTTCTTACCTACAGCCACTCCTAGACTACCTGGAAAGGCTCTTGATGCCCAGTCTCTACCGCAAGAGGGTCTCCATGGATACTGGGACCATATTTCCCAAGAGTCAGTACTTGGGGTCCAACAGAGGAACCGTTCTGGTTTGAGAGCTCTGGCACAGAAGTGGCAACTCGAGCACGCTACCCTCACCTATCTGGAAAGAAACCAGCTCCGATAACCTACCCTCGCGCTGGGGGTCTACGTTCCCGGCTAAAACTGAGGCTCAGGAAACCAGCAACAGTGACAGTAAGTACGTGAGGTCGCAGATTTAACACCCGTCCTGGAGGCACCGGCTCCTGACACAAAGCAGCACCCACAGCCGTGCGTGTGACTCCTTCAAGAAACATCCGTGGCTGTGGTTTCTCTTTTGAGGTAGTTTTCGTGGACTGTGCTGCTTCAACAAGTTTCTGAACTAAGGCTGACCGATTAGGATTTTAACGTCTCTCGCACACGTATCCTCCCTGGAGAATGTTGGCAAAACGCTCATCTATCTGGTCTTTTGAAAACACGACTGTGGTGCTGAGGGACATGCTGTTGGGACCCAAGCCCCACCCCACAGTGGCTGGAGCCCGTGGTTTCAGGGACACGTCCGTGGCCCGAGCCAGACAGAGACCACGGGTGTGAGTGGCAGGGCCAAGCTCCGCTGTGCGTGGGCATGGCACAGGTGAGGGCCCTCTGGAGCAGGTGAGGGCCGTGTTCCTCACGGCCGAGGAGAATGGGGATGAGAAATGAAGTGCTCCTGCACCGAGCATGGGCCCAACACCTGTGAAATTACTTTGGGGTCTAGCTGGAGGCCCCGGGATTCTACAGGCCTGTCCCAGCGACACGGCTGGGGACTGTGGGCTAAGCGCTTCCTCTCTAGGCCTCAGCCCTCCCTCTCTGCACACCTGGCGGCCCCCACGGCAAACATCCATGAGCAAGGCTGCGTGAGGGGGTCACTGGCACACACCCCCTTTGCAGCCATCTGGGAAATGAGACCAGATTTGTCTTGAACTGGAGAGAGACCCCATTCCAGGTGACAATGGCCTTGACGATGCTCCAGACCACTGAGAATGTGGCAGCCCACCCTCACTCCAACAGGACACAGCTGGCTTTGCTGGGAGGGCTGCAGGCTCGCCCCCTGCTGCTGCCCCTGTTCCGGGACCCTGCTTTTGACCCCACTCCACTCTGGTCACCTTCCCCTGCCTGGCTCCCGTCACAGCCCGTGCCTTCAGCTCTCCGACTGGGGCCTGCACACGGAATATGATGCAAACTAACCTCGTTCCACCCCCCATAGCCTACCTCTCTGGCCACACTGCCTGCTGTCTGTCCTTTGAACTTTGGGCTCAGGACCTTGGCACTTACCATTCCTTCAGCGTGGACAGCTGTTCCCACAACCTCTGCATGGCAGCTCCTTATCCAGGTGGGCTCAAATGCCCCCTCCTGAGCGAGGCCTGTCCCACCCCACTCCCTTAAGCCCCCTGTCCACCACGCCCTTTACGCCTTCTCAGGAGCACCCCCAGGACCCACAGCTGTCTTGTTCACATGAGCTCTCTGTGGGCAGGGACTGTCCCCTGAATACAGCTGAGATCTCTCTGTCCACCTGCATTGGTCACAGCTGTTCTGCCAGCGCCAGGCTGGAGTTCTGCTGTGCTCATCATCCGTCCTGCTCTGCAAGGCTCATTTCAAATCCCTCCTGCTCTGCGACAAGAGTTGTTTCCCTTCACTTTGGGGCGGGCAATGGAGATGTTTCTTGGTGCAGGTTCTAGAGGTCTTTCTTTTTTTTTGAGACAGAGACTCCCTGTGTTGCCCAGGCTAGAGTGAATGCCGTGGCGTCAGCCTAGCTCACAGCAACCTCAAACTTCTGGGCTCAAGCAATCCTCCTGCCTCAGCCTCCCAAGTAGCTGGGACTACAGGCATGCGCCACCATGCCCAGCTAGTTTTTTCTATATATATTAGTTGGCCAATTAATTTCTTTCTATTTTTTTATAGTAGAGACGGGGGGGGGGGGGTTCTCGCTCAGGCTGGTTTCGAACTCCTGACCTTGAGCAATCCGCCCGCCTCGGCCTCCCAGAGTGCTAGGATTACAGGCGTGAGCCACTGCACCTGGCCTACTAGAGGTCTTAAAATTCAGGCCACACCTGGCCCATGGTACTATGTGGCTAGTTTGTTTCTGACTTTTTGTGCAACCTCAGTTCCAAATACCCTATCTTGTTGCCACACCAGCATTTGGTTTAGGGACTATGGTCAGCAGATCTGTGGGGAGCCTGTTGTGCATGGGGGACGGAGGTGGAGCTGGCGGAGAGGGAGTGGGGTGCTGGGCCGGGCTGTGGCCAGCGAGCACGCCGCACATCCACCTGTTGTGCACCTGCGCCTGCCCCACCGCTGTCCTGTGTGGCCGGGATCAATAGCCCTCACTGTACCCAGGCTTGGAGAGGTCGCCTAACTTGCCCAATGTCACGCTTAGCGAGTCGAAAGCTGGATTCGAGCTCAGCCCCACTTCACTGCCGCTTTGGACAGGTCACCCTTCCGGGGGCTTGGCCTCTCCCCTCCTCGGCGGAGGAAGGGGAGGAGCTGACCTGCACAAGCCCAAGTCCCTGCGGCTCTGCCCTTCCCCAGGTCTGAAAGAAAAGACCACCTTCCCAGAGCAAGGTGTTAAATGCCGAGACATGAGAACAGGGTTCAGGGGTGTTAGTCGTGGGACAGGAGACAGAGGAGGCCCCAGAGACCGGGGGACAGTGGGCAGGAGGGTTGTTCGGTACCTAGAGTGAGGCTGCGACTGAAGGGGGCTCTTAGCTTCGGGGCTCTTTGCCACAGACGGGGTTCTACAGCAACGGGACGAAACAGACACGTGAGCCGGCGCCAGCACCCGCCTCTGCCCCACCGGTCACTGCTGGGGCCTCCCCAGGGCAGCTCACCTGGACAGTAACGAGGACACAGGTTTCTCCACCGAGTTGCTCCGCTCCCAGGGCTTCCGGCCAGCCTCTGTCAGTTCATTGCATGGACGAAAAGCCTCAGAGCTGAGGACTCAGCGGCCACCCCAAGCCCCTAAGCATCCCCGACAAGAAGTGCCCCCATGCCAAGGGTGCAGAGCCCCCAGGTGGGAAGGTCTGCCTAGAGTGGAGCTGCAGTCCGGCTCCGTGTTTTAGTCCCCCTGTGGCCCAGGGCAGCCCCCTGAGGGTGGTAGATGGCACTGTTGTCACCCTGTGTTTTCTCCACTCCAGAACTCAAGCTCCCATTCCCTTGACCTGGTTGACCTTGACTTGTGACCTGGTTTCAAGTCCTTTTACCATGCTTGGGTCTCTCTGTGGAATGTGAACCAGCTGGTAAGGGAGCCAGTGATGCCAGCAATGGGCTGAGCAGGCAGCGGAAGCCCTCCCCAGACACCCCCAGGGCAGCCTGTGTTCCGAACTGCTGTGGGACCCTGGAGCCCACTGGTACCTTTCGTCAACTTACGACCTTGGTCTGCCCTACACGCTGCTCTGGCTCTTTCCCACCCTGGGCCTGAAAGCTGGTTTGTCTTCTCTTTTTTAAGGTAAGTGGTAAGTGGTATTTCATTCTACTGCAAGGGATTTGTTGACTCGAATGCACTGACTCTGCAGGCTGGCCATAGGCAGAAGACAAAATCCCTAGGGCTAGTGGGGAAGCAGACCGAATGCAGGTCTGAGGCCGCTCTCCTCAAAGCCACCTTCTGGGAGGGGCGCTGGACCCGCAGGCACAGACCTGGGGCCACAGCCATGCTCCAGGTGTGTGATCTTGAGCAAACCACACAGAACTGCAACCTCCTAACAGGAAACCACTCAGCCCCTTCCCTGGGCTGGTTATAATTAGCAAACGAGGGCAGGGACATCATTCACGTTCACTGGCCAAGAACCTATGGATCCTGGCAAATCAACAAGCCAGGCAAAGTTCTAGAAGGAGAGGACACAGCACACAGCCTCATGAAGGAAGCAGTTATGCCCACACGTGGCTGGTGCAGGCATGGAGCATGCCCAGGGAGAGCAGCAAACAGCTGGCCAGAGTCTCCCTGCCCAGGGTAGGGTGGCCTAAGCCCCTGCCTCTCCTTGCCCTGCTCGTGAGCACAGGCCTGGCACAGAAAAGACACCGCACAGATGTTTGTTGAATGACTGAACAACCAGCCCATCACACTCTCTAATTACATCCCCTCTGCCACAGCTCAGATTGGAAGACACCTGAGCAAGGTAAGGGCTGCGTGTCTGGTGGAGCAAGTTCCAATGGTGATCTCTGTAATGTCCATCCTTAGTTGGCATGTCACTGGGAGGCATGTTTAAACATCCCTCTTAAGAGTGCTGGGCCCAGCCTGCACTCAGGAGCCCTGGGTGTACTTTTCCACAACTGGACACATGCTCAGGCTAGTGCCTTCCCTTATGAGGGGCCTCGGGGTCCTGGTGAGAGACAAGGTGACACAGCAGGTCACCCTGGGGAGCATCGTGTCAGTTTGCTCAAGCAATTCTAGCCTGCTCAGGGGACTCACAGGAGCTGGGCTTCCATGTGGCCTGGCTCCCTCACGCATTCAGCCCAGTGGTTGGAATGGATTATCTTCTTCTAAGCGTCCCTCCCTCCCACACTAAGACCTTGTGCCTCACTGGGGTCAGGATGGCACCCTCTTACCTGAGGAGTTAGGTGGCTGGCTGGATGCTCGGGTCCCTGGAGATGGGGAGGTGCTAGGATCTTCCTAAAATGGAAAAGAAAGGCTCTTCTGTTAGAGTCTGCCCATGAAGGCTGGTTTGGGCCAGGGCAGGATACCTGTGGCCCAGGGTCATTTATAAAACCTCAGTTTTCCAAATGTTTCCAATGAATACGTATTACTTTTATAATTAGCAAATTAGTAATTATATTACTTTTATAATTAGCAAAGCAATAAATATTTAAAAATGAAAACCATGGGCATAGCCAGGGCAGGGGAAGGCTGCAGGCAGGTCCAGACTCCCTGCAGAGTGGCGCAGAGCTGCCTGCTGGCCCTGGCCGCCTCCCCAGCTTGGAGCCCGGGTGGGCCAGATGCCTCCCTTGCGCTGTCTCGCCGACCACTCCTGAGCACCCCGTGGAGTGACTGCTCCCTCGCTGTGCAGCACTGGCCGCTGCTCGCCAGGAACCCTGCCCACTGTCCACTCCCCCCCTCCGTGGCCATGAAGGCTGTGGGGGTGGCCAGGCAGGACCCACCATAGGGACCTGGCCTCTCCTCTCCAGGCCCTGGCTTACTCCTCTCGAGGGCCAGTGACAGGACCAGATGTCTGGCTGACACTAGAGGCTGCTGGGTGGGTCCCCTGGTGGCAGGTGAGATCTTCCAGACCCTCCCTGAGTGAGGGTCTACTCAGAGCTGGCCACAGGCACAGCTGATGTGCTACGGACCTGTTTGTGGAAGACCTCAGATGTACCTCATTTCACTTTTACAAAAAGAAGAGGAAGGTCTGTCCCCAGCCAGTCCACAAGTTCATCAATGTTGCTGCCCAAATGACAGCTGTAAAATTGACTTCTGACCTCACGCCCCTTCTGTTAAGAGCCTTGGAAGCCCCCTGGCCGCTTGACAGGGCAGGGATAGTCCCATGCACCCAGCCTGGCCCTTCAGCTCCACCTCTGGCCGGCTCTCGCCCGCCCAACGGTCCTGCACCCCCTACTCCATGCCTTCGCCCACGGCGCCCTCCCTCTGCTCTTGTCTTAGCCCCACGAACTTCCAGCTCGTCCTTTGAGGCTCTGTGCAAACATTACTGCTTCATGGAGCCCCTGGACTGGTTTAGGGACTTCCCCTTGTGACCCCTAGCCCTTGTCAGAGTCTGTGTCACCTCTGCTCACCACTGTCCTCACACCGAGAGCAGGCCTGGCACCTATCAGGAGCTCCAAGTATCTGAGGGTGGGTGAATGGATGAATTCTGGGAGTTTCCAGGGGCAAAAGGATGTGTGAGGCTGTGGGTCTTGGGCCATCTCCTTCCCTGGACCTTCATCTCAGAGAGATCTAGATGTCTGACTACGTCACCAATACATGTGCGGTGGGGCCAGGGCCCAAGGAAACAGGTGAGGGTGAAAGCTATTACAGGTGAAATTAGAGTCACTAAAAAATTAGAATTTTTTTCTTCAATATCATTCTATTTAAAAAAATCCTTCACTACATAAAGAGAAGTTCTGCTTCAATTTCAGGCAAGGAAAGAGGCTGCCGCACCCCTTCTCTGCCCGCTGTGCTGCCTGCGGGGCTGAGTTTCAGGTGGTGGCACTGGTCCTTAGCACTGTAACACAATCAGCCATGGCAGAATGCCTGCCCAAGTCGCCTGACTGCACATTTGGGGCTCTTTTAAATAATACTTGTTTGTTCTCCATTAATCATAAACTTAGTACATGTTCACTGAAGAGAACTTGGAAATATTGAAAAGCATAAAAAAGAAAATAAAAGCCAGCCACCAGGGTTTCTCCCTCACGCTGTGCTTGCTCTGCTGCCGGAGCAGGCCCTGCGCTCTCAGAAGCTCATCCCAGTGTGGGCCAGCAGTGACTGGGGCCTAGTTAAAGAAATGTGGGTGTCCCAGGAAGACAGCACTGTCCTTGAGACTGAAGGGTTCGAGAATGATTCTCTTCCAGAAGTTGCTGGGATCTGGAGTCCATTCTTCCTGCAGCGGGAGGAGCGTGGGTTTAAGCGTGCAGGAGCTGGCGCTCCCACACCAGCAGCCGCCTAGGAAGGGCCAGGGCTGGCCCACGGGCCCTTGTGCTGCTGTTTGGACACCTGTGACTCTCCTGTGGCTCCCAGACACACAGGCCTCTGCAATTCCAGGAATTTGTGGCGAGTTGGTTGGCACATAGCAGGTGAGTGAGAAGCCCAAGCCCAGCCTTCCCGGGGCCTACGACCTGGCAGAGAGAGTGAGTCTGCACACGGTATCGTGTGTGTGCTCAGGACCTCGGGAGAAGTGTGGGCTCAGGATCAAGTAGTGGGGAGCCCTGCCGAGCCTGGGGTCTGGGAGGCTATGATAAGTGCAGGCGGGCAGGAGCTGGGGAGGCAGAGGGGCCCGTACGTGCCCTGGGCAGCAATGAGAGGAGCACCTTGGCCAGGAGGGCTGGGGCCCCGGGACAGCACCAGCCTGGCCCTGTTGGGGAAGGCGAGGCACGGGTATGCACTAGTTTCTGGCAGGTATATTTCTCCCCTCATTCCACACTGACGTGTAAGCTTGATGCTGTTTGTATTAACAGTTAAGGTCTAAATTTAGCAGTGTCAGTAGGAGTCTATTTTTACAGGAAAAGATTAACACAGAGGACAAGAGAACTGCCACCTTAAGTGGAAGCAGGTGTTGTGCAGCCACGCCAGGCTTTGAGATACCTGCTCAGGACAAGAGCCAGAGGTTCCAAAGCGCCCCATGGCTTACCTGTAGCTCCTGCTGGAATGGATGGACTCAAGGGAAATCTTTACGAACAGAAATAATTTGAAAATAAAAGCCGCCCTGGGGTTCCCCAGACTTTCTGTACCATAAGTACACCTTCTACCCCCTCAAATCCTTTGATGAGGCCCTGGTTTGTCTGAGCTTCCTGGGGCTCCTAGGCAGGTGAGGTGGCTCCGCTGAGCTTTGCCAGGGCTCTAGGCATCTCTTCCACAGCACTTCTGGGGCGAGACTTGCTTTTCTGCCTGCTTCTCTGTTAGGATGGAGCGGTGTCTGGCGGGGGAGCACTCCGTGAGCGCAGACCTGTTGCCAGGACTCCGGTGCGCAGCAGCAAGCCCCACAGAGGCCCTCCTGCCCTTCCTATAAATCGCCCAGTGAAGTGCCTATCACATGTATGGCCAGACCAGGTACAACTCAGTGCCCTGAAGGCCTGGCTTGGGACCAGAGAGCCTGCCCAGGAGATTTAGGTCTACCCAGGAGTGGGTGGGCGCGGGGGTGCTCACCGTCTGGCTTTCATCTTCCCTTTTGTCAGCTGGCCTGTCTGTCTGGGAGGCTGCTTTTCTCCTAGACACAGGGAAAGGAGAAGATACCAATCAGCTCCGTAAGGTTCTCCTCACACTGCCCCAGCTCCGCCACCTCCACGCAGGACCCAGCCCTGTGATGGAAACGATGATGCCTGTTTTCCGTGCAGGAGGTGGCTTGTCCAGGCGCACAGATGTCTCTGTGCTCATCTGTAACCTGGGACACGAAACTTGTCTGGGCAGGGAGGATGGGGTTTGGGATGTTTCTGTCTGTTTAACGCAATGGCGACAGCCACGGCACCTGACGGAGGAAGGACTCGGTCTGCACCTTGTCTAGGCTCCTGGGGGCCTGGGCTTAGCTGAACAGCAGCTGTTCCTAGGACATGCTAGGTGTGGCCACATGGGACAGAGAGGCGCCTCTCTGGGCTGCAGTCTGTCTGTCTATCCGTCCGTCCCACAAGTCAGGGCTGTGGGAGCCTCTGCTGCAAGCTCGGGGCAAGCAGACCCACCAGCTGTGGGAGGGAGGAAGACATTTCTTCTGCTACCCTAAAGCCCCTCCTATGTTGAAACTCAGTTACTGCAGCCATGCCTCCCTGGTCTGGAACAACACTAAGAACCTGGATTCGCTCAGAAAACGGAAGACTGAATAGCTCCAAGTGATGCCCTATAGTCAGTCCACACTTTCCCCACAGGTACGAAACCCCCTTTTCTTTCTTTTTTTCCCCCAGCTGTCCACAGTACTTGTTAATTGTTTTATTTACCCAGAGAAGCTATTCCTCAGCCCAGTGTTTGTGGCTCAGGAACACAGGTCAGTGGCAAACTTCCAAGTAATTAAACCCAAAGGAATTTCTTTGTATCCCCAAATCACTGTGCACTCTGTAAGACACCAGCCTTCCTCCTCTCTCCAGCATCTTTCATGGAACTGTAATTCCTGTAGAAATCCACATCTGCCCCCTTTCTTGGTTGTATCCCTGGGGGTTGCATCTCTCCATAAGTTTGCTGTGGCTGAACCAACACTCCAACCACATGAAACCACAGACACCGAACCGCCATGCGCCTGAGGTTTCGTCAAAGTGCCAGGAGCCATGGTCGTTATTGTCCTTGAGAGGTATCTCAACATGTCCTTCCTGGCTGGGGGAGACGTGAACTGCCAGAATCCCCTTTTCATATGCTCTAAAACCTCACTTGTATTTTCTGGCCTCAGTGGTCACCTCTACCTGGTACCCCGAGTCCACACACGCAGAGCCTCAGCACTCCCCAAAGGTATGCTTCCGTGGAGAGCGCTCACTGCTCACGACATCTGAGTGAGCTGCCGCCAAGAATGGAGCTGGTCTGATGTTGGTGGGGGCCTCCTTCAGCACCTCATCTCAGAAGGGCAAGTTCGCCTGGCTAGTCCCTTGGCCCAGAACCCTGGGGGGGGGGTCATCCTTGACACCAGCTTCTTGTCACAGTAACCCTGATCAATTCTACCTCTGAGTTTTATTGCCAATCTCTTTCCTATCATCACTTCCAACACCTTCCTGCAAGTCACCATCACCTCCTCCTGGACTACACTCGCCTCCTGACTGGTCTACCCATTGCCACTTTGCCCCATTTAAACCGCTCCTGTCCAGCGCCGGCGTTCCATGTCTCAGGAACAGGAAGCAGGCCGAGCCCTCCCACTCCTGCGGGGGGTGAAGGTGCTCCCCGCAGCAGCTCTCCACAGGCTCATGCCCTCCTGTCCTCCAGTGCCGGGGAAGAGGCTCTCAGCTGCACGCCCTCGGAGACAGGAGACTAGGTCTGTGAGAACTGGCATTCAAAGCAGCAGTTCTCTCTGCATTCACGTCGTCAGCTCCACCCAGCATCTATCACCAAGGCGGGTTTCAAAGAGCCTGCTGGCTGTGCACACAGCATGTTTGTTCTCAGTAGGGCCTCGACTCCCCCACCAGCACTGGCGTCTCACTGACTCCTGGCAACACTGGCTTTTTCCTGTTCTCAGAGAGAAAGGTGCTTCCTCCAGTTTGGTCTACATCAAGCTGTTATCGTTAATGCACTGGTTTTGGGCTTGGGGAAAGCTTTAATAGTTTCTTTTCCAGAAGCACCTTCTATTTTTCTGAGGCCCCTCTTCAGCTCTCTGCGGTGGAACCTGACAGCCCTGCGCAGCAAGGCTATCGTGTCCAGCCTCACTTTTGGTCCATTTCCACGACATCCGATTCTCCAGGCACAGTGTTTCTCAGCCTTGCAGGAACTCTGACGCTGCTGCTGCACCTCCGTAGTCCTTCCTGCACGGCTCGCTCTGCTCCTGCCTCGGCCCAGAGACTTGTACCCTTCACCCTTCTGTGAGGGCCTCCTGGCGCTCTCCCTCAGTGAACTGTTCCCACCTTTGTGCAACCACCGTCAACCCTGGCACACCTGGATTTACTGCTATACAAAATGCTCTTAGTCTGTCTCCTGTTTTGGTGATTTATGTGTGCTCAGGCCCAGAGGGAGGCTCAGGAGAGGCCTGTGCTGTGGCTCAGCCTTGCCGCTCCCTGACACTCGTGGCGGGTTCCCCAGGCCCTGCCCCTGCTCCAAAGCGCTGGAGGAGCTGCTGTACTTGGTGGCCCCTGTCTCCTCACTTCGTCCTCAGGGCACCATGCACATTTGATGAGCTGAACTGGGAACATGCTGTGAAGACCTCAGCATACACGGAGTTCCCACTCGGCTTAGCCACTTGGAAGGCAGCTGGGAGGGCCAGGAGAATGGAGAATTGGGGACAGTGTCCAAGGCAGCAGGACTGCCGTACAGCTTCCTCTGTTCCGACAGGGGAGGCTGCTCCTGTGCCCTCTGGTGTCCAGGTAGCCCTAGGTCAGCACATTTCTCAGGCCAAGCTACGCATCCCTTTTGAGAAAGAGCTGTATGATCTCTCTTCCTTTCATCTGAGGGGCAACAAAGAGTTACAGTGATAGGCTGATGGCCTTGGGCAGCTGGAGCCACACCTGCAGGTGTGACTGAGAAGTAGATACCTAGGTCCCAGGCTCAGAGCCCAGCATGACATGGATGGAACTGTCCTCTGTCCGACTCTCTGGGCTCCTGCCACTCCACAGTTCCTTTTCTTGCACCTTTCATAATTTCCCCTGGAGGACCGGGCGCCTTCATCACACACGCACTAGAGTGTCCTCTGTCAACTCTAGCAGTGGGTCACATCTTACTGCTGTTGGGATCTTAAGTGCAGGGACTGTTCCTCCTTTCCCTCTGAAATTATCTCCAAATTTATCTCTGCTCGGGCGAGCACACACAGATGCCGTAGTAGATACCAGCTAAGCTAAAATGAGGGAGCCAGGGCTGGGAGTGCTCCTCTGGCTTGCTGCCTCAGAGACCCTTGAGAAGGGAAAACTTCAGTAACAGGTTCCCCTGCTCAGCTAAACCTGAGTGACAAAGGATTCTGGGGCCACGCAAGATTCTTCATGCAGTGCTGAGGGACAGGGGCATCCTGCCAGGCATGCTAAGTTTGGGGAGGTGTAAAGACCCACCTTTTGGCCAGCAGTTTGTTCATTTCCTCCATGAGGCCACCTCCGCCGCCTCCACTGCTTGCCCGGTTGGCATCGGACTTTGAGGTCCCGCTGGGACTCGAGCCTCCAGATGCATCTTCTGGCTGAGGGCAAAGGATGCCATGTTTTAGAGCCTGGTGCTGACGTCAGGATGAGTAGCAGCAAGGATGTGAGAGGACGCAGGGGACCGTGTGTGTACATGTGACTCCTACAATAGCACTGCTACATGAGACCACACGAGTCGTCTAGTCCAACATCCCCCAATCCCACAGGGGAAAAAACCAGGACCAAGAGGGGGACAAGGGCTGGCCAGGCCTGCATGCCATGCTCATGGTCAGTGCCCTTGCTGAGACCAGCCGTGACATGAGGCAGGGGAGACAATTCTGTGGGAAGGAAACAAGATTTAAGCCAAAGGTCTACATCAGAGGCGCTCTTCTTTCAACAGCAGCCCCCTTTCGCCTCGCTCCAGAGTATGTGAGGAAGGGTGAGGACAGACACACTGAGCTGGATGACTGATTTCCACGAGATGACTTGGTATAGTGGAAAGAGGACTTGAGTGGAAACGGACTCACATAAGGAGACCCAGGGCTTGAGTCCAAATTGCAATTTATAAACTCTGTGATGTGAATGCATCATGTAAACTCTCTGTGCCTCAGTTTCCTCACCTACAAAGGGGAGATGTTCTTGTCTTGCTTACGAAGGCCAGTGTGAGGACCAATAAACAGTTGTGTAATTAAAGCACCTCATAGTTCACAAAGTGCCATCCTGTGTGTTTTCTCGTTTAATGACAACCGGCAGAGGGACAGCTAGGCTTGGGGAGGGTAGTGCATGCTCAGGATCCTACAGATAAGGGAGGGAACAAAGGTGCTCTGCAGACGGCGCGAGGACCCCAGCCCCACCCCCACCCCGTGCCCAGGGACACTTACCCGCTGGACTCTCCTCAACTTGGCTCCAGCTAGGGCAGCGGCCAGTCCTGACACGGAGCTCTCGTCATGGCTGGCCCCCGGGGCTCCTCCGGCTGGCAGTGGGGGTGGGGGTGGGGGAGTGGCCCCCGTGGGTGGAGGTGGGACAGGGGGTGGGGGTGGGGGTGGAGGCCCACTACATGAGAGGGGGGCACTGGCTGCAGAAGAGGGATGCCCCGGTGGGAGGATGGGCCCTGAAACACAACAGAGGGCTCAGCCAGCCTCCAGCACCAGCTGGGGCCTGAGCCTGCCGCTCTCACCTCAGGTCCCTGAGGGGAAGGACAAAGGGTAGCATGCTCCTCAGAGGGACAAGGAGCAGCTCCAGGGTTGCTTCTTTCAGGAAGCCCCCATGGAATGAACTTGGCCCTGGTACAATTCCTTTCTGCTCTGGTCCCCTCAGCATTCTGGCCCAGGCTAGACCCAAGGTCTCATATACTCAGTGATTCCCCGAGCTCAGCCAACTGCTCTTGCTCCAGTCATGCTCCTCCAGTGGGGAGGAAGCTGTCTGGCAGTACACATGGCCCCTTTTCTCTTCTCTATGCTTTCTAAGTACATAGCGCCCCCTTGGCAGGAGTTGTTCTGAGATCCCACTATGACTGACCCTTGGCCTTTGGGGACTGGCGGTAACTGGGGTCCCAGGGCCAACTGGGAGCACAGGTCAGGACACAGTGTGAGGTGCTGGGCTCCACTGTCTATCCAACCTCCCCACCCTGTCACCTGAGCCTTGGTTTTGTGCCAGGCACCGTGCTAGGCGTTGGGGGGTGGCGCTGAGGTGTAACAGCCACAGGCCACCATGGCGCTCACAGTCTGGGAGGGGACAAGCAGTTAACTAATCACACAGGCAAGTGCAGATCTGGGACTGTGGCAAGCTGACAAGTGCTACCAACAGCAGGCACATGGTGCTATGCTGGCATACAAAGAGGGGCTCCAAGCTGGCCAGAGTTCACAGAAAAATTCCTTATGCCATGGCGAGGGAGCAGGACCATGGTGGGAGAGGAGTTAGGTGAGGTAGCGAGTGGGAGGAGGGAGGAAGGGGACAGGCCGTGCTTGCAAGGCACTGGAAGGCAGGTGGGTACTGGGCTGTTCCAGGAGTGAAGGGGACGGGGACACGAAGGCGACATCATTAGAAGGCGACCTGCATTAGAAATGCAGAGTGGCCAAAGGGGAGCAGGAGGCCTATGAGGAGGGTCTGCAGCGTCTAGGTGAGAGGTGATGGCATCGGTCAGCATCTCACGAGCAGGTGCTCCTGTAACCAGCGGGGGCTTGGTTTTCTCATCAGTAAAATAGGATAATAGTCACCTGCTGACTTCATAGGGCGTTTGAGAAAATTAAACAAGACAAAGGATATGAAAGCACTTGGTAAGTTATAAAGTCCTATACCTATTCATGAACATTACAATGTCTAGAAAACCATCTCCTCCGCCTTCAACGTGCCAAGTTCCATTCGATGTCTGAGGCTGAAGCTTAGCAACATTCTGGGAAGTCTTCTCTGACCCAGTGGATTGGGACCCTCCTGTGTGCCGTCAGCACCCTGCACTTAACTTGGCTATGGTGTGCACCAGATGATATTGTAAGTGTTGGTTCTTTTGCCTCCCTGACTGGACGATGGGCTCCCTGGGGGCAGGGCTTTGTCTTGTCTGCCTTGTCCATGGTTGTGCCCCCAGCCCTTAGCACGGTGCCTGAGACATGGAGGTGCTCATTGAATGTCTACTCTGGGAATGAGTGGTGGGAGGGCAGAAGGTTGATGCGCAGGGGCTGGACTGAGCTGAGCAAATTCCCCAAACCTCTGCTCTGCTGTCTCACTTCCCTATGCCATGTGAAGTGACCGTCACACTCTGAGACCTAGGCAACCCTCAGCTCCTCAGAGAGGGCCCAGAGCCCCTGGTCCTCATCTATGCGGAGGGGCTGCCACCCAGCACCCGAGTGGGAGGGAGGCCCCCAAGAAGGGGCTCTCACCTGTGGCTGAGGTCCTTCTCTCTAGAGATTCCTGACGTTGCTGCTGGTGCTGCTGCTCCATCACTTGTCTGCAAAGCAACCACAACAAGGCGGTCAGGACAACACGCTCAGTGCCTGCAAGCCTAGGCTTCAGAGTCGGGTTTCCCTGGCACTCCCTAAGAGCCACCCTGTGCCAGGGCTGCCTCCATGTACCAGAGGAAGGGGAGGTGACTCGCTCAAGTTCCTGACAAAGGGAGTGCTGGCGTCTCCTGGTCCTCAGGCACCCGAAGAGGGAGCCCCTCGTGGAAGGACGATTTGATTTTACTTACTACAGTGACCAAGCCCTTCCCTAGGCTTGATGGGATCATCAGACCCAGCCTTAGAAACACCTGTTCTTTTTTTTTTTTTTTTTTTTTTGTGAGACAGGGTCTCACTTTGTTGCCCAGGCTAGAGTGAGTGCTGTGGAGTCAGCCTAGCTCACAGCAACCTCAAACTCCTGGGCTCAAGTGATCCTCCTGCCTCAGCCTCCCAAGTAGTTGGGACTACAGGCATGCGTCACCATGCCTGGCTAATTTTTTCTATATATATGTTAGTTGGCCAATTAATTGCTTTCTATTTATAGTAGAGACGGGGTCTCGCTCTCGCTCAGGCTGGTTTTGAACTCCTGACCTCGAGCAATCCGCCCGCCTTGGCCTCCCAGAGTGCTAGGATTACAGGTGTGAGCCACCGTGCCCAGCCAGAAATACCTGTTCTTAGTGTACCTGGCCAACCTCCCTGGGACAATTCTCAGGGACATGTGGTTGTCAGGAGAAATGGACATAAAGGCCATATGCCTCATTCTCTTTACCACAGACAAGCTGCAGGCCCAGCCTCCATTTCTCTATCTCACTATCTATTTATTTCCTAAAGACAAGGGTCTCGCTAGGCTGCCCAGGCTGGAGTGCAGGGGCTATTCACAGGTGGGATCACGGCTCACTGAAGCCTCAAACTCTTGAACTCCTGGGCTCAAGCAATTCTCCCATCTCAGCTTTTTCAGTAGCTGGGACTACAGGTGTGCACCACCATGCCTGGCAACCTTTTTTTATTATTTGTAGAGATGGGGTCTCACCATGTTGCCCAGGCTGGTCTTAAACTTCTGGCCTCAAGCAATCCTCCTGCCTCAGCCTCCCAAAGTGCTGGGATTACAGGTGTGAGCCACTGCATATGGCCACCTGAGTGTTCTCAAAGGCTGAATGAATGAGGACACTGACCCACAAATATATCCACAGAATCCAAAGACCAAAATACTGGAATGGGAAGGGCCTTAGGGGACCATCTAGTACAGGGACAGCAGCAAGGGTGCAAGTGGTGTAGAGCCAACTCTGAACACCTGTTGTCAAAGCACAGGGCTAATGAGTATGCTGAGGCCAACTCTGGGCTCGGTGAGAGAGACAGTGCTGGAAGCACCTATTTCATGGGGTTTCTGTAGGCAGTATGCCTGATACCCCCCAAATAATGGAAATGTCCCTCTTGGCATTAAAAGTGTTTGAAAAGCTCCCAGCAGCCTCTGCATTAGATTCTCCTTTCAAACTGCAGAAACATCACCCAACACTCTGGCCTTCTCAGCTGGATCCACATACTCAGAAAACCACAGTATTATAAAATGAAAATGTTTGGAAAATACTTAAAAATCAGTCTGTACTTGTGTTTCTGCTTGTAGTCACTACTTCACTGTGGGGTCCCGAGGGAGTCATCCCTCCTCTGCTCCCCTGCCCCCAGGGAAGTGGCACTGGACAGTGGCCAAGCGAAGGTCCTGACCCTGGGGTTGGATGCCTGCAGTCACGTCCCGACTGGCAGGGGTGCTCTGGTCCGTGGACACACCCTCTGCAGCCAGGAACCTTGCATGCATGTGACCTGGGCCTCGGGTTAAAAAATCGGGCACTGTGGGTGCTGAACCAGTTCTGAGAGAACAAGGGAAGGATCTATTTAGCAGCCATACTTGCCACATTTATACCTCATGCCTGGCAGTGGGGGCTCCCTAATTCATGCTCTTTTCTGGGTGGGGTGGCCCTGGGACCTGGCAGAGAGCTGCAGCCATAGTCAGACGTGAATGCCTGGGCTGGGCTCTGCCTGTAGCGCCCAGTTATTCTGGGCGAGCCGTCTGCACTCTGAACTTCAGCTGGCTCCTCTGGGGAACAGTAATAACAAGCCCTCAGGTGAGAGTGAAGGTTAAAGCGAGACAATTCATGTAAAAGTCCTTTGTACCCTGCGAGGCCATGAGACAGGCCTGTGGAGTCAATAAACACATGCGAGTCCACAGAAATGAATCAGTCACACTGTAAGCACTTTGGGGTGCACACTCCCGTCTGTCACCTCATGTGCTTGAGAAAGGCAGAGCAAGACTAGCACCATCTTCAAATGGGGAAACTGAGGGCTAGAGCAGTAACTTGCCCAAGGTTATAAAGCACAAAGTCAGAGACGGGTGGAGCCTAAGAAATCAGTCACCCTAAGGCTTTCATTTCTCAGCCTTAGAGACAGGCCAGAGAAAAGGAGCTGTAGGGAGAAGTCTCACACTGCTGGTGAGGAGCAGATGTCCAGGGCTGGGCTGGAGTCCAGCCACAGGGAACGGGAGCTGTTCCCCTTGTCTGACAAAGCTGGGTGAGCATGGCCTGGGTCAGGCCTAACCCTCCTCCACACAGTCAGAAGGGGCAGAACACCACTGTGGAGAGGGCAGACCTGGGTTCCAGTCCTGGCCCTGCCATTTCCTAGCAATGTGACCTTGTGGAGGCTGCTCCATGGGTCGCCAGCATGACCCCCTTCTGTAATTTTGGGACCCTGCCCTGGCCCTTCTTCCCAGCGCTAGCACTTTAGAAGCTCCATTGGCAGGGGTGGGGGTGTCATTCCTATGGCCCCTAAACCATAGGCTGTGGGAGCTGCCTCCTTCTCAGGCAGAATCCCTCCATGTCATAACTGCCTCCTAGCACACCTGGGGAGGTTAGATGAAGTGACAAATGATCAGTACTCGGGATACTGCAAGGCTCATCAAAAGAGCTGCACAAATGGAGGTTAGCGGTACTCTCTGTAAACCATAGATTCTCATTTTCATTCCTGGTCTTGACGTCTGGGACAAGCTGCAATCTATGCTTTAGTTCCCTTTCTCTCTGGTCTGGCCTGTTCCTCCTGTTCCCAGAATGTGCCTCTGGGAGTCCTGGCCCTAGCTACAGGGGTGTCCTCACTTGCTGAAGGGTACCCCTGCCACCAGGCACTCCTAGGAGGCTGCCAGGCTGGCCCCTGCTGGGTGCTGGGTTACCTTCTCTGGATGTCCATCTCATCAGGAGAGGGGCCATTCTGCACCTGACGTTGGCTGGAGGGGCCTGTGGGGCAGAAGCACAAAAGCCAAGTGGTTAACAAAGGGAAGAAAGGCTCCGACAAACAAACTCGTGACTGTGTCCATCTCTGCCCCTCCTGGCTGCAGAAGAGATCTCCCTGACCTTCTCTTAAAACAGGCGTCCTCAAACTACGGCCCGTGGGCCACATGCGGGCTGCCTAGCACATTTATCCGGCCCTCAGGCTGTTTTGCCACCACTGCCTGTTCTGCTTAGCAGCTGACTCGTCCAGGCCCACAGTGTGCACTCTCCAATGGTCTGAGGGACAGTGAACTGGCCCCCTGTTTAAAAAGTTTGAGGACCCCTGTCTTAAAAGTTGTCCTCACACCTGCGCAAGGCCCTGCCCCACCTCCATCTCCCAATCACCCCCTCCTCGTGGCTCTTCCTTCAGTCAGTAAATGGGACCTGGCTCATCCCACCCAGCTGCTGGCCCCTCTGTCCTTCCCTGCAAACGGTACTTGCTGTTCCTGCCTCCTCACTTGCCACCACCCCTCAACCCTTTCACACTGACTCTGCCTCCCCACGTCCCACTAAGTTGTTCTAACTAAAAGCACCAGGGGACTTGGAATGGCCAAACCCCAAAGACCCATTTTATTCTGCTTTCTGTGCAAAGGACTGACACGGTGTCACAGCCAGAGTTTAAAACCCAGGTCTGTCCGAGCCAAAGCCCGTGCTCCTCACCCCAACACGACGCCCTGCTGTCTGCATCAGGAGCCTGGAGCTGTGGGGCGGGAAGGAACCAGCTCCTGCCATTGCTCCCTTTGTTCTGGATGGACATGGAGCCTTCTGGAACACACCCTGACCTGGACCCCGAAGACAAGACCCCAGAGCAGGCCAGGTCTGCTGCTCGAGCCCCGCAGCAGGAGGAGTTCAGGGGAGAGCTGGTGGTGCTGGACACCCGCATCAGGACCCTACTGTTGGGTCACATCTAAGCCGAAATCAAGGCTCTGTCCTAACTTGAGAACAAGCTGATTGTCCTTCCCTCTGCCATCCCTGGTGTCACTCAGAACAGTCCCCTGACTAGCAAGGAGGCAGCTTTGTTTCTGCCCAGGATGCGGTGACAGGGTGGAGTGGAAGCAATCCCTTTTCCTTCCTACTTCAGAGGCTCGGGGTCTTCGTGGTCCTTCCTTCCTTGTTCTCAGGAACCAAAAGCAGTTAATATGTGAGCACTACTAGTGCAATGTAGTGTAAGTCCAGGCACTTTAAAAAATTTAACTCTTTGTTTTTTCTTCCTTTTATTTCATCATATTATGGGGGTACAAATATTGTTAGGGTTATAAATATTGCCCCTGCCCCCCTCCCTCTAAAAATTTAATTCTAATTCCCACAACCCCGAGGCTCCCACGAGGACGTGTAACAGCTGAGGAAAGCAAGCCCAGAAAGGTCAGGTGACTTGCTCAAGGTCTTACATATAGAGTGTGGCAGAGCCAGATGCAAACAACCTGCAAAATCCAACTCTTAAATCCAATCACACTGTGGAGTGAGACTGAGGCCAGCTTGAAGAATGAGGGTGGAGGTGGCAGACTCCCTGCTGCCATAGAGTGGCAAGCTGCCCTTGGCTGGTGCTCTTGGGCACTGCCTGTGTCTACACGGCAGCAGACAGGTGTACCCCACCGACTCCACTCCTGGCTGGGGCAAGAGGGATGCAGGGCTCAGCTTCACGTTGTGGAACTCAGCCCGAGCCGCCTAGTTTGGCCTAGGCCGTGGGTTTTAGCTCCGACTTCTACCTTGTTCTAAGACCTGGCCTAGCTGCTGAGTCCACTCCTAGAGCTGGATTCTGTCCTTCTGGAAGCCAAGTTCCTGTCCTGGCGACCTTGTTTAGCACTTAGTCTGAGCACCAGTCTTGAGGCTTTGCGGTGCTTGGGCTCCACTACGTGCCATAAGGTCCTTCCTCGTTTGCCTGCTGGCCTTGCTTTGGATTTCGCAGGCTGTTTGTGTCTGGCCCTGCCACTTTCTATTAATATATGTAAGACCCTGAGCAAGTTACAGTCACTGTAACTGTTTCCCACCCTCTTTCAGGACTCCAGATGGCAGCCAGGTGCCCACACAGTGGCCTGTTGTGGTTATGAGCTTTGGATTCTCATCCTGCCTACTGGGCTGGACTCCTTCCAACACCCTTAGCAAGAGCTGCTCCTCCAGAGGGTGAGGGAAATCCGACAGGAGCCCTCGCCCCTTCCAAGGGGCTCTGCCCCTGCACTTAAGACATACTTCAAAAGTAGCTGCAGTTTTAGATACTATAGAACAGGAAGAGGTAACACTTGATTGCATAAGGCCTTCCATTCTTAAACTAAGAAAACGTTAGATTGTTTTAAGCTACAAGGGTCCTTAACAAAGCACAGTCCTTTTGTTTTAGGAGTGGGAGCTAAGGCCCAACAAGGGAAAGGGGTTTGTCCAGTGTCACCCAGGGTGTCTGTGACAGACACCAGATTCCACTGCTTCCTTACTCCTGGCCTATTCCTCCCACCCACTGGCACAGCTGCCCTCAGGGTAGGGTCGGCAGGGAGAGACAGAGTGGAGGGGCATTCCTCCAGACTGTCGGTGCTCTCTGGGGAAGCCCTGGGCAGCAGCCCATATTTGTGAGTGCTGCTTCTCAAGGTGGGAGCCCCTGCATAAAGGAAAGCTCTCCGATGGCGGTAATCAGACTCCCATCTGTCCCAGTGTTGTGTTACTGCAGATGACTTCCCTGAATTATGCAATCAGAAGCCAAGGTGGAAGACGTGGCATGTGTCTTGTGCTACAGATGAGCACCTTGGAGTCACCTCTGAGCTCCTGAGCTGAGCTTTGATCCTGCAGGATCCAGGGTAGGTGGGAAGGTGGGGGGGGTGTCCAGCTCCCCCTTCTCTGCCTCCTGCAGCCCATCAGTTACTGAGTCTTACTGGTGCTGTGTCTGATGCCCGGCAGAATCCACCCTGCCTTTCTGTCCCCACAGGGCTGCCTCAGCATCTCCTTTTTGGACCCATGCCTCAGTCTACAAATGGGACCCTCGCTTCCACTCTCTCCCTTGTCTACTTTGACACGCAGCTTAAGTGATCTCTGGAAACCACAGACATGACCATACAGGGTTGGGTCCAAGCCCAATCGAACAAGATTCAAGGCTCTTGAGGCTTGGCCCCAGCCCACCCTGTGGCTGCTTCTCCTGGACATACCCCCACGGTAGACCTGCATCTGCGCACTGAGTGCTGATCCCACACAGTGCTTCCCGCCGCTACATGTTTTTGTGAGCTACTCAATCCACCTGGGATACTTTCTTTTCCTGCCAAGACTCCAAGGCCCAACTCAATAGTCACCTATTCCAAGAAGCCCTCCCCAATCCCTCACACTCCTCCTACCCAATGCCCATGTGCCTGTCTCATAAAACTCACAACTTTCTCACCAACATTACAGTGATTTGGGAGCTGCCTCCCTGTCTGTACTAGACTCCGAGCTTTGAGGGCAGCAGGCTCACTTGGCACTGTGAGCTCATGGCCCGCCTTACCCCAGACATGGCGAGTTTACTGAGCTGAGTTGGGAAGGCTAAAGGGAGCTCGTGCTCACCCACACTGCGGGAACAGCACAGGCCCAGAGCCAGGCTGCCCTAGCCTGGGTGAAGACAAAGACAAGCCCAGAGGTGAACAACAGAAAGGCAGCGCTTATCAGAGAGGAGGCTGGGGGGAGGTCCCTCCACCCCTGCAGCACCAGTGCCGGCTGCACTCACTGCCAGCCATCCCGCCACGGCTCCGTGAGGCAAGCAGGATGAGCAGTGGTGGCTCTCAGAGGTGAGGAGACTTGCCCAAAGCCATGGGGCTTGTGATGCTGGTCGGGGTGTCCCCAGCTTGTTGAGTCTGGGAGCTGATCTTGCTGATAGGCTGGGGCCTGGCCCACCCACTGGAGACTTCAATTAAAAAAAACTCTCACTGTTTTCTCACTCACTTCTGATGAGTTTTACCAAAGTCAAAATAAAGAGCCTATTCGCAAGACAGGAACGAAAGGAAAAAGGGAAGTTTAAACAAACTTCTGTGAAAGACAGAGTGGCTGCGAATGACTGGCATCTTGTGGGACCAGCCCCGGCAGCAGGGCTCACCCCTGGTAGCAGGCCAGGCAGGTGGGAAGGGAGAGGTTGGGACCTGCCCTCTGACTGACCTCTTCCCTGAACTTTACAAAGAGCTGCAGAGGACAGGGGCTGAGAGCCCAGCTGAAACTCCACTCCAGGCCTGTCTGCTGCAAGGCCCACTGGATCATGATGCTTCTTGGGGAAGGAGCTGACTTTCTGCTGTCTTTGAGGCCCACTTCCCAGCTTCATGTCTAAGTCCCATCAGAGCCTGCTCCTCTCAAACATGGCAGTGACTTAGAGGAGGTCCATTTACTCTTGGGGTCATGAGGTGTGGTCACAGAGAAAACAAGTAAGAGGAGAAGGTGAGGCTGGGTTAGACTGAGCCACGAGCCCACCTGAAAGGGAGGATGGGGAGGAGGGCTGAGGCAGCCAGCCAGAGGGGATGGGAACTAGAGGCCTCGGGGAAGAGTCTGCAAGGTAGAAGGAGACTGCAGCCAGCAGGGGGGCAGCCCCTCAGAGTTGGGGAAGTGAGCACTGGGAGAAGTTGGGCTCTCTCCTGGCAGCGTCTCTACCTGGGATGCACTGAAGGCGTCAGGCAGGTTGCGCCCCCTTGCTCCTCCATAAGCAGGGGCAGGAACGATTGCTACCTGCTCTTCACCCGCTACTCGGAGGAGGGGGTGAACTTAACCTACCTGGTCCTTGTACTGAACATCTCCAAGGGCTCTTTATAGCATCTGTCTTTGACATAAGTATTTGACAAAGGATTCCAATGCAAGGTGCTATCATTTTCACGAAAGTTGCTCTTGTGTAACAGGGATAGGGAGAGCCGAGGCGAGAAGACCCTGGGTGCACACCCTGGGCTTCAAGGGGAATGAATCAGATGCAGATGACTCCCCCCCATGTGCTGAGACTCAGGCAGGTCACGCATGACCTGGGTGTGCAGAGCCTGCCTGCTCAC